ACCCTGCGGGGCCTGAGGAGCCCCGGGATGGCCGAAAGGGGCTGGAGAGAGCCGAGGGGTTGCGAGTCTCCTCAAGGGTGGGAGGGGAGCGCTGCCTCCATCCCCTGGTGCTGCCCCATCCCTGAGCGGGCCTTTTATAGAGCCCCTGCGGCACCTGTGCCCTGGGGGGGCTCGGGCTGTGGGTTGGGGTGTCACCCCTGCTCTGGGGACTGCCCCCTTCACAGGTGGAGCATCCCCACTCCCAAAAAACAAGCTTTCTTGAGCTGCTAACATGTAGGAAAAAGATGTAAATTCTGCTGAACAGTGGCTTTTGTTTGATATTTTTTTTTTTTTGACAGAGTAAAATTGGAAGAGGTAGTTGCAGATGATTATGAAGATCTAGATCATGGCTTCTCTTATATATCCAAAGAAGACAAAAAAAGGCGCAGACAAAAGCAGGAAGAGGAAGAATTCTCTAGAAATGAAGAAGACAGGCGTAAAAAGGAAAAGAAAAAGAATGAACATAATCCTGAGTATTCCTCTTGCAGGGAAGAGGCCTCTGTAGATATTTGGGACTCTCAAAAAGCATACAAGAAAAGAAAAAGAAAGGAAGAAGTTAGTGAAAGAAATAGACTCACAGAAGGTAAGGAAGAGAGCTCTCCTGAACAATCTAAAAAGCTTAAAAAAACAGAGAGGGAGAAACAGTTGGCAACAAAAAAGAAGGCTGGAAAGCTGACAAAGGCTGCTGCAGCAAACATGGCTTTAGAACAGGCAAATAAGAGCTCTTCTCTAAATTCTGGTAAAAATAACACCAAAAAAATCACAACACAGTCCAGAAAAAAAATTGTGGGATCTTCAGATTCCTCCAGCACATCGTCTGACAGTGACAGCAGTAAATTAAATGTAAAGCAAAATAAATCTTCCCGTAAACCTGTAATGGCAACGCTTTCCAAAGACAAATGCCAAACTGCTGCGAATTCTGATGTGAAAACTGTTGTTTCTCATAAAGTGACTTTGAAGTCTAATGCTGAAAATTCCACTAAGACTGCAATTAGTAGAAATGCTAAAAAATCCCAGTCCTCTAGTTCAGATTCTGACTCGAGTACAGAGGATGAGGAAGTGGCAACAGCACAAGACAGTACTGCAAAGGAAAAGTCAACACCTAACAATGCGGCAGCTGTAAAAACCAGTACCACCAAGGCTACCAAAGCACAGACCTCCTCTTCAGAGTCTGATAGTTCAGATTCAGAAACACTTGTTATTAAAAAACCTGCAGCAAATGCTGGACTGAGTAATTCCGTAGTAAGAAACTGTACTAAACAGTTGCCAAACAGTATCCAAGGACCACTTGCCACCTCAGGTCGTGGAAGGGGGCGTGGAACAGGAGAGGATAACTTCTGGAGAGGATCTAGGGGCCATGGGTTTCGTGGGATGATGAGGGGCCAAGGCCGTGGGAGAGGAGGAAGCCCTGGCTTCTTCTACAACTACAGCAGTGAAGGCCAGAAACAGAGGCAGTTAAATGAAGCTGCAACAAACGCTTCTGTTCTTGTCCAGGTGAGTGACTTAATGCACTCATAGGTCACCGTTCTCTTGCCATTTTAACTATAGAAAAAACATATGAGAGTAATTAGTAAAAGCAGAACTAGATTAGTAGGATGAAGGTTGATCTTAACTTGGTAAATCTGATATTTACAGTATCTGCAGCCTGAGGAAGTGTTTATGAAACTATTTAAGTGATTTTATGATACATCTCAAAACAAAGCACTTGGATATGTACCTCACTCTTCTCAGAACTTTTTAACGATCCATACAGCACAAACATTGTCTTATCTTTTTATTAATACAGTAATTAAATCAATGGGTTTACTGTTGTGTTTCGCAGAATCCTGTGGAGGTCCCTAAGAGAGACTATAGTGTGTTACCTCTTCTAGCTGCTCCACCACAAGTGGGAGAAAGAATTGCCTTTAAGGTAAAGAACTTGTGAAATACTGAATGTTAGTGGGCTAAAATTGTTTCTTTGGGCTACTGTAAGTTTTGCCGGACATGCTGCAGATAGCATAGTCCTGACAACGAAACACTTGCACTGAAGAACTTCATCTTACATTGTTGTGGGACCACTACCCTAGAAGTACAGGAGTTGGGAGGTAGTCTTCATCCTGCTTATTCAGAAAAGTTGTAATTTGTTATTTGTATTTCTTTCAACAGCGCTTGGAACTAACTGAAAATTACAGTCCTGAAGTTTCAGACTATAAGGTACTATTTATTTTTTCTCCCTTAATTCAACACAACACTACTATAGGTAAGGCAAGGTTTAAATATTTTGAGGTTGTGCAGTGTTTTTCTTCTCATCCAGTTGACACTCCGCAGGCTATTCCTGGTGCATCAGTGAAAATGAAAACCCTAGAACCCAAAACTAATTGAAAATAGGAAAGGTGTAGCAGTTCTTAAAAAAACCCAAAACATTATTAATTATATTAATATTTTAGAGATGACAAAAATGCAGACCTTCAAGTAGAAAACTATACCTCTATTTGTGTCTACTGCTGTTTGAAGTGAAGGCAAATTCTTGAAACTGGTGCAAGTAAAATTTTGTAGCTACTTCAGATAACTTGGTTTCTGGATAAGTACAGACTTAAACTACAAGGATGGTGACAATGATTAACTTTGGTTTATTGATGCCAGTAACTGCAGATTGCTGAGCTTTAATACTTTGCAGATTTTATACATAGAGATAGAAACATTTGTCAGACAGATACACATCCTCTAACTGTGATGAAGTCCCACAGTGGTTGTAAATATGGAATAGTTATTCAGTGCTGAAATAAACCTTACCTGATTCTTTTCTTGTTGCTTTATGAAGGAGGGAAAAATAATCAGTTGGAATGCTGATAACAAACAGATTGAGCTTGAGATCCTTTCATCATCAGCAGGACAAAGTACGTACCCTGGGACACTAAATTCTTGTTGTCACGTGCATCGTCTGGAAAACAGCTAGTCTGAGGCATGCTTCATGTTTCAGGAGTATTTCTTATTTCCTCAGGTTCCTCTTCAACACACCCCGCCCTCCTCACTCCCTCCCCAAAAAGTCTATTTAAATGGAGAAGTTCTAACGCTTGTTGTATTGAAGATGCTCATAGATATTCACAAAATGAAATTTGTCCCATCAGCATGAGCAGTCAGTAACTCATCTCTACTGTGGTTTCATCTCCTGAAAAAAATTAAAATTATTATATGGAATTACAGAGAAAAATTTGGTTCCTAATGCCATTCTTCATGACACCAGTGAGACTGCTGGCTTCAGTGGGTGTGGAACTGAGTCCCTGCAATGACAAAGTGTGCTTCAAGCACCTGACATTATGAATGTCTCTGACACTGGATGTGTATGCTGCAGTTGCCATTTAAGCCAGAATTAATGAATTGCCATCCTATGAGCATTTTTCTTGAATTTAGGCAGCATGTTGATTAACTTTTGCATGCATATAGTTAACGTTAATTACCTTAATTTTGGTGTGTAGTGTTCAGTTCTACCTCAGAATTTTTTGTTACAATGATGAACCCAAGCACCTAACTCAAAAAACTCCTGGTTTTGACTAGCTTTCTAAATACAGTAAACATTTAAACCTTTCTGCTTATAGTTGGTTTTTTTGTTTGTTTTTAAGTTGCTAAAGAGCCAGGAAAATTTGACCTGGTTTACCAGTCTGCAGATGGAGCAGAACTGATAGAGTACGCTGTTCCTCAGGATACAAAGGTATGTGGGTGTCCTGTTTTGAAGCCTGTTACAAGCTTTGCATAGCTGATACGTGCCCTGCTTTACAACCCCATTGATCTCAGTGAGATTCCCTTTCTAAGAACGCATCTGATTAAAATAAATGAAAGCAGAAATAATTGTTCCTTTCTAGCAAGAATGTGCACGATTACAAGATAAGAATCACTTCTTGCATGTTATTCAATTAACTAGATTCAAAACCAGTCATCAAACTGTGTAACTTCTTGTTCTAATAAAATAAACAATGTCACGTTCTCGCAAGGTTACTCATTCCACGCACCATTTTTCTTACCTGCATCTTTCCTTCCGCAGAAGGTCAGGCAGGTTGAGGGTCATCAGGAAGATCGATGAATCACAGGAGGGATCTGTGATCTTTGTTCAGTAGTGCTGCTGTTCAAGTCTAGACGAAGCATAGTGTAGGAGAAATTGCATCTGCCTGTGTAGCTTGTACCTGCTAAGTATTGTCTGTATTTTGTTTTCAGATAACGGAAAGTTGGGATGCACTGATAGAGCCAAGGCTGATTGTTGAGCCTCCAGTTAACGGATCCAGCATTGGAAATGGAACGATGTGAGATGTGAACAAATGTAAATAATTGTATGGACTTGTTTTGTGAAATATTGCCTTCTAGTTTTGAGGGCAGCAGATGCACTGGTGGATATTTTTAATAAATCCTTTCAAAAAGAACCTACGCTAAAAGAAAAAACACTTTTGTCTTAGGATATGTTTTGATGTAATACAAGAATACTTTGTTTATTATTGGAAGTCTTTCATAGAGATCTACCAGGGTTTTTTTCTTAATAGAAGCTTAATAACAATTTTTATATTCTGCTGCAAGCTGTAGAACTGAATGGTTTGATCAAAAGGATAAAATACAACCTTCTGCTGTAAGTAAATCCAGTTAAATGTTTCGGTTTGTCTAGAGCTCTATAACTGCCATACAGAGGTAGCTTGCTGTAAGGATAATTAAAAACAACATTCAAAAATCAAATATAAATATTATTGATGTGCACAGCTCTTCCTGTACAGCTGCAGAGCATGATAAAAATGCCATGACCTTGCAGTTATTGACAGGGGTCACCTGAACATGTCAAGAAAAGCTTTTGAATTTTAAGCTTCTGTAATTTGGAGAGGCAGATAAATCATATTGGTAACTGTCAACTTTGCCTAGAACCAGTGGACTATAACGTGAATTCCTGGCAAAATTGTGTCACATTGTGTTAACCTGTGTAGGCTCTGAAAACCTGTTTGTTTGTTTGTTTTAAAGCAAACCCTTTTGCCCTTTAAGCACTGAAGTTTCTGTGCTTCTGTCCTTCCTCATAGCAGAATGGGTCACCAGGCGGTGGCAATACACTTCACTGACATCTCTGCTAATTATTAGCAGTGTGGTAGTGCCTTGTGCCCCTGCAGGATTTGCATCTTGGCAAGTCTCGCAATTTAAGATAATCCCTGTCCTGGGTAGTTGACACTTAAACAGAAGATGTGAAAAAAAAAAAAAAAAACAGACCCTAGATACAGACACCTGAGAAATTGTACATCGTGGTTTAGCTAACATGTACTCGACTAGTGCATGATTACGTAAAAATGCCGCACACCTTTGCATTGTCCCTATTAAAATGTCTTGTTCTTGAAGGAGTAATTTCATGAGTAAAACTAATTTGTGTATTGCAGTTCTCTTTAGTTGCCATTATGTTAGTTTCTTTTTTATAGAAAGAGGCAGTTACATCACTTTGTGTATATTTTTGCAAACTGGACACCAGAAAAGATGTTCTGAAGATAAAATCTTGAGTTTTATGTATCCATTGTTACCAAGTTTGAGTGAAACTACGGTTCCAGTGCACAATTCAAATCAAGTAAATGCAGTCTGACGGAGCTGGCGGACGGCCCTTCCTCTCACACCCAGCCACCTCTCACAGAGCCACATACACGGTTCCTCATAGCTGGGGAGCAGTGCTGGGGTGCTACATGGGTGAGAAATGCGGACTAGGACAGAACATGGCCATGAATCGCAGAGGGAGCTGGTGATACTCTGAACACACTCTTCTTGCTTGCTCTCATCCCTGGAGTTTTAGGGTCTCTTGCAAGCCCCTTTGCTGGGCAGCCCCAGCTGTCGGTGTTCCTTGTTACCCTCCTCTGTGCTTGTTAAAAACTTCCTCTGGGTTTGTTAAAAAAATTCAGTTACAATTTTTTGACATATTCTAGTCTTGTCATTCAAAATGTGAGGATGTGTTTGAGCTAGCAACCTACAGTCATGTGCAGACACAAGCACCTGCAGCTGGAGGCTGGCAGCCAGAACCTGTTGAACAGATTGTAAAGACATAAAAGTTTGCTGCTGTGACTACAGACCTTGTGAAAATACATTGAGTCAGTGTCAGCTCTTAGGAATTTAGAGTTCTTTATAATTTTGATGGGAAAACTGTACCTACTTAAACTACTTTGAATATTAAATCCAAAAAAGTCAAAGAGTATCATAACACCTGTGTCACTGTTTGCTCAGCCACATGTACAGAGGAACAATTTGTTCTGTTGTGCTTCTAACTTCCTGCTCAGAGCCCAAGTGGCACTTTGAATCCCCAAGACCTTAACAATTGAGTTCAGAACCACATGAAGAAGCTCTCAAGTAATTGCAAGGAAGCAGAGAGAGCAGTAACTTCAGTAGCTATTTAAATTGTAAAATTATTTAGTAATTTTTAATGTTAAACATTGCTTTTAAGAGAACGGGAGTGGTTGGACTTACTCAAAATAGAATTTCAAACCCTCTTTGACAATGCAGAACTTCAATTGCTCATCTGAGCTCTGAATGTCCCCTGTTCTGCTCCAGAAGCAAAAGCTGAATTGTGAGGTGTATATTCCCCCTTTACATTTGCATACCTTTGTCTGCATCAGACATGAGTGCTGCAGAAAATCCAGTGAAGGTGCTGAACCTTTGAAAGATGATGGTGGCTTAATCCAGAGAAGCCCAGGAAGAAGTGCTTTGTTCACCTACATAAAAATCAGAAATGTAAACGTTAGCAGCTGCTCTTCGGTCCCATCTCTGATAACACAGAACACAGCTCTAAGAATGTTTCTTTGCAGTCACTGTCACCCACCACCCCTCAGGTACCCTCGGGTGTTTGCATCCCCTCTGACAGTAGCTATGGCGTCCTGATCTGCGCATCCCAGCAAAGCTGTGAGCAGAGCCATGCCCATCTCCTACAAACTCTTCCAGCCTCAAGGACGTTACATGATCCCTGAACTCTTGCTCCTTTCTACCAAAGCCATGGCAGCTCTGAACCTTCATGCTGTCCTTTTGCCACCATTCCTAAGCCGGGAATCAGAGCCCGTGACACACTGCCGCTCCGTAGTTCACCCTGAAGGTGTATTACGAGACTGGAGCAGATTATTGATGTAGGTAGAAGTCAACATTATCTGTACAATGGAGGTTTACAACAACTATTCAGACTTAATTTAGTCTGCCAAAATAACGGGCTAGGAATTTATTTCAAAGCACTAATTATAACACACAAACCACCACTGTGTCTCAGGCCAATGCAGAAAGCCCACAATTACCTGCTCATACTTATTAAACAACATCAAAGGTAACATCAGCAGCTCTCCACACCAAGTATCTGTTGGACACTGGAAATGTCGCTGAGAGCAGACAGCTTCTCTTGCTGTAGACCAGCAGGTTCTGTTTAAATCCTTGGGGGGATCACTGATTTGTACCAGGCTGCTGCGTGTCATCCATGCTGCTGCTGTGAGTGAAGTGCAGAAGGCACCAAGGGAGTCCCTGGGATGCCAGCAGTCAGGGCAGAAGAGGAATCCGAAGAGGCCACTGGAAGGATTTGGAGCTGGTTCTTTAACACTGGAGCAGTTCCACATGGTTATCTAATGATTCTGTTAGAAACAGCGATTATTCAAGTTAGATTGAGGAAGGATCTTCCATTTCCACATTCACAGAGCAGTAACCCGTGTGCTTTACAACACCGCATCAGCAGCAGCCTGGCTGATCTTCAACAGCCAGAGCAACCGCACCCCGAGGGGAGCAGCCGGGGCTGGCGGCAGCTCGGCGGGGTTCGGGGTTCACGCGTTTACCGGGGCTCGGGCAGCAGAGAACGAGCCCGGCGGCTGCACGCCCGGGGTTCGCTTCTGCCCAGCGCCG